GGTTACTGAGCTCACAACTGCATTAGGTCATATGAGCAAGCCGGACACATTAATCATTTATTTTAGTTGGTAGGAAATTTTGAATTTTTCCTGGGTGGCGACCAAAGCCTACCTTTATCAATTTAGGACCACCAAAGGATCTTTAGCGTGAGCAACTTGTACATGGGACCTCCGAGATTTTTGGCTCGTGTCCGAGAAGGATAGGTGTCAGATCTTACCAACCATAAGATTAGGGGTGTGGCTGAAAGACAGCAGTAAGAAGGAGCCAAGAAGTAGGATTAGGAAGGTTGCAGAATGAGTCGGGAGTCTAGAGGAGTGGGGCAAAGGAGGTGAGGAGGAGGGGGCAGAAAGTGGAGACGAAATCAGACAACAGAACATTGTTAGAGAGCAGGAAAGGAGGTGAAATGAGAAAATGTTAGAGAAGAAAATTGTCCGCCTCTGTCCGGATTTGAACCCGGGACCTACTGAATCAGAGCCCCGCTAATAATATTTCATATTACGGTGGAATCCTGCGCTCGTCAAGGGTTGGTGTTTTGTTTGTTTTTTAGTGTGTTTGTTGGGTTGGGAGGTCCTTTTTTCTTTTTTAAGCGTAAGCAGTTTTTGGTATAATCTTAAACTTTGTTTATTTGCCTTGCTTTTGGTCCCCCAACAAAATTTAACTATAGGTCGAGATACATGGGATTGCAGGAGGTGGAGGTCGCCTGATGTCAAAAGATTCACGAGAGAAAGCGGCCGCCAAAGTTTTGTGTTTTTCTATGACTGCAAATTCACTTTTTTGTGTGCGTTTGGTCACCATTTTTCTCTGCAAAATTCACATCGAAATGTGTTTTGTAAAGGACAAAAAGATGTTGAGCCTAGAACAATTTAAAACAAAAAAAAGCAACAACAAAAACGACAGCAAATGCACAAAAGGTGGGGAAAATGCCGGTTTCTTCGATTTCCCTATTTAGACGAGCGCCTGATTTCACCACGATGCCACTCAGAATACATTGTATTTGCAGGGTAAGTGGCCGGCAAAATACCCGATCGTCCCGTCGTCTACGCCGGAGAGCGGCATGGCTTACCTAGACCCAGACCACAGCCATTTCCTCCTGGTGGACAATGGGACACACAAGACATGGAAGACCGAGATTCCTTTCCGGACGAAATTAGAACAGGAGATCAAGGGTACGCAACCTTTTCTTTCTCTCTCTCTCTATATATATATCTATCTACCTCCCTTCTCTCTCTCGCTCTCTCTCTCTATCTCTCTCTCACTCTCCCTTCTCTCTCTCACTCTATCTCTATCTATCTATCTATCTATCTATCTATCTATCTATCTATCTATCTATCTAC